TTTGTAACCAATCTGTTTAGACAACAGAATGCCTGGGAACTTTGGAGCTAATTTGCTAGTCTGATTGGAAACCAAGATGTCAAGTATTTAGCATATTGGCTTCTCCCCTTCCGTTCTTTGTTCTGACTAGAGAAGGAGACGCCATTCGTCCCTCCCCATTTTACCTTTTAGCTGTAAGGATGTAGACATATTAGCTCTTTGTTATTTTCATATCCTGTGTACCTTTTTCCCATGTTAGGTTTATAGTAAACTTTTATATTTTAATACACACCATGGACTCAGTCTCTTAATACTCTGCTGACTTACTTAAAAAGAATCCCAACACTAAGGCTCTTGACAATCTTTCATTCTTTCCACCTCTCTTTCTCTTAGACAAATATCATTAGCAAACAAATAAATACCTGAGGGACCGCATTTCCCCATATATTCCCCAAAGAGCACTTCGGTCAGGGTCACAACACCGGCTAGTGACCCCAGGCCCTAAGGAGGCCAAGCTTGTGGCAACCAGGGCCAGGTCTTTCTCAGTGGCGGCTTCTACCTGGTGGAACGAGCTCCCGGAGGAGATCAGGGCCCTGCGGGACCTTGCACAGTTCCGCAGGGCCTGCAAGACGGAGCTCTTCCGCCAGGCTTATGAGTAGGAGCCGCCGCGGCCACTTACACCTCCGCCCTTATAGAGAGAGACCGCTGAGAGGTTGGGCAACATCTTTCCATTACCCAGCCTTCCTCCCTGCTATGCAAGATGTTAGGAGTCTTCATGTGCATCCGTTGAATTGATTTTAATCTCTTTTAATTCTGAATTTTGTATTTTGTAATTTTGTATACTGTACGCACTTAGTGCCCTATGTAAGCCGCCCTGAGACCGTTCGCAGGGAGGGCGGGGTATAAATGCAATAAAATAAATAAAAAATAAATAAATTGGGCAAATAAATATCATTATCAATAACTGGTTTTCCCCCTTTTGTTTTTATTTTTGGCAATCTCATTTAATGTTAATAAAAAGCAAATTTGCATATTTTTCGATAAAAATGTGTGATATTTGTTCGTGTCCTGTGGCTCTCAAACATCTGACGTTTATTCTGTGTGGCTCTTACATTCAGCAAGTTTGGCCACCCCTGGACTAGACCATCTGGACATCCAAATTACGCATATCGGCCCAACTAAATCTCATATGCCTAGGAGTCATTTCCTGCAGGAGTGCACAGGAGCGGAGCTCCAGCACTAAAGAGCCCAAGGGGTGGGCACATGCAACAAGCCACACCCCCTATTCAGGTACAAGCTCTCCCTCCTCTGCGAGGAAAGATCTGCACGTTCCCCCCCCCCAATAGCTAGCAATCCAAAGCAGTCCAGTGGCACCTGAGCGGTGGGTGTTGCTTTCTGACACATTTCTGGTAATGTCAGGGGGTGTGGCACATGCAAATAAATTATGCTAATAAGTTATTCTAATGAGCTCCTGCACTTCTTTTTCTACGAAATGACCCCTGCATATGCCATGTGCTGACCAATGTTTTAAGCTTTCTTCCAGATACTGGAGAGAATCAAGTGCACTGGAGTGAGTAGCTTTTGGCAAAAAAAAAGGAAAAACCCTTCTCAAATTTCCTTTCTGTGCTGCAGGGAAACGAGGAGAGAAACTCCACATTTAGAAGCAGAAAGCGAATCTCGGCTGGTCCAAAGCAGTTTTGACTGGTTTTGTTATTTTTTCCACGGCGCTTTGAAGCGACAGTGTACGCTTAGAGTCTTTGTTCCAGACAGCACTTACGAATTTTATGTTTATTACTTGGCATGCATGTAAAATCACAAACTGCTTGGGGTTGTGCTCTGGATTCTCCCTCAGAGCGCATTTGCACAATGAGGCTACGCTACAATGCCATATTTAGAGTATTTATTCCACTTTATCAGCAAGCGTGACTTAACAGGACTAAGTCATGGCTTCATCTGGGAGGATTGTCAACTACAACTAACAGTTGCCTCTAATGGGGTCTCCACAGCTCATGTTGAAGGTGTTATTCCTTGGCATGGACACGTCTGGAAGACAGAAGCTCAACTTCATGGAAGGCGGTATGGGAGGAGGAGGAGGAGATTGGATTTATACCCCACCCTTCACTACTCAAAGGAGTCTTAGAGAGGATTACAATCTCCTTTCCCTTTCCCTTCCGCTCCCCACAACAGACACCCTGTGAGGTAGCAGGGGCTGAGAGAGCTCTGAGAGAAACTGCCCTTGAGAGAACAGCTCTGAAAGAACATGTAGGTAGAGAATGAAATCCTTTTCTCCCTTTCTCACAAGACAAGAACTCGTGGCCACTCCATGAAATTGCTGAGGAGTCGGGTTAGAACAGACAAAAGGAAGTACTTCTTCACCGAAAGAGTGATTAACACATGGAATTCACTGCCACAGGAGGTGGTGGCGGCGGCTACAAGCATGGACAGCTTCAAGAGGGAATTGGATAAACATATGGATCAGAGGTCCATCAGTGGCTATTAGGCGCAAGGGATAGATAGGAACTCTCCATCTGGGGCAAGGGATGCTCTGTATTCTCGATGCTTGGGGGGGGCAACAGTGGGAGGGCTTCTAATGTCCTGGCCCCACTGCTAGACCTCCATCCTGAGGGCACCTGGTATTTTTGGCCACTGTGTGACACAGAGTGTGGGACTGGATGGGCCATTGGCCTGATCCAACATTGGCTTCTCTTATGTTCTTAACTGACCCAAGGTCACCCCAGCAGCTGCAAGTGGAGGAGTGGGGAATCAAACCCGGTTCTCCCAGATTAGAGACTCCTAAGCACTACACCAAACTGGCCCCCCAGGGTCCCCCAGCAGCTGGCCCGGGACATACCTTGCCAGAGGGGCCCTCACTAGTGACATAATGACATTGGCCACAGTGTGCTGACATCACTTCCTGTGCAGCAGGAAGTGACATCAGCACATTGCTGGCAACGCTCTAGCAGTTGGACAAAACCAGGGCTTTTTTTATAGAAAAAGCCCAGCAGGAACTCATTAGCATAATAGGCCACACCCAACAGCAGACACTCATTAGCATATTAGGCCACACCCTTGACAGCACAGCACATTAGCATATTAGGCCGCACCCCCATGTTGCCAGAAGTGTGGTCATCCAGCCACACCCACCTTTTGCTTCTTATTCTGTTTACCTTGTTGTCAAAACCCAGAGCTTTTTTGTAGCAGGAACTCCTTTGCATGTTAGGCCACACACCCCTAATGTAGCCAATCCTAATGAGTTCCTGCTGTTGGGTATGGCCTATTATGCTAATGAGTTCCTGCTGGGTGTGGCCAAGGCCAACTCAGGAGCCAGCCGGAACTCCGTTCCTATGCGTTCCTGCCCCAAAATAGCCCAAAACTCTTTTTTCTTTTTCTTTTAAAGTTTTATATTTTATATTTTCTTTTTTTTTTAGTTTTATATTTTATATTTTCATTCTGTTTCGTCAGCGGCAGGTTCCCTGGAGAGGCAGCACGGAAAGTTTCTAACTTATGTCTTGAGTATCATGTACGAGTTAAAGCACAGCAAGGTAACTCTCTAACCAGCTCCTCTGAATCTACAATTTCCGGGTTCCAAAAATGATTCATTTAATACTGCAAGCTTGAATGGCAGCAGTTATCAAATTCAAACTATCCTAAGTATGCCTTCCCTGACCTGGATAGCCCAGGCTAGCCCAATCTCCTCTGATCTTGGCAGCCAAGGGGGCCAAGGTCTGGTTAGTACTTGGAAGGGAGACCACCAAGAAATCCAGGGGGCGGGCACCTGCAACAAGTCCCCCCCCCGCTCCCAGCAGCCCTCAGTCAGGCCATGAGGAGCAAGAAGCAGCCAGGTAAGTTGCAGAGCCCCTCCCCCTGGCCCGCCTTCAGGTACAAGCTCTCCCTCCTCTGTGAGGGCAGATCTGCACATTCCCCCCCCCCAATACCTAGCAATCCAAAACAGTCCAGTGGAGCCTGAGCGGTGGGTGTTGCCTTCTGACACACTTCCGGTGATGCCAGGGGGTGTGGCATATGCAAATAAGTTATGCTAATAAGTTATGCTAATGAGCTCCTGCACCTCTTTTTCTACGAAATTACCCCTGCGTGCCAGGCCTGTATGGCAGCCATTACCAACTTCAAGCAGCCCTAAACACACTTACTTTGCTTATAAGAAGGAGGAGGAGGAGGAGGAGACTGGATTTATACCCCGCCCTTCACTACCCAAAGGAGTCTCAGAGTGGCTTACAAACTCCTTTCCCTTCCCCTCCCCACAACAGACACCCTGTGAGGTAGGTGGGGCTGAGAGAACTCTGACAGAAACTGCTCTTTTTCAAGAACATCTGTGCCAGAACTATGGCTTGCCCAAGGTCATCCAGCCAGGTGCAAGTGGAGGAGTGGGGAATCAAACACGGTTCTCCCAGATTAGAGTCTGCGCACTTAACCACTACACCAAACTGGCTCTCAAGGAGAATATGAAGAAGAGAAGATTGGATTTATACCCCGCCCTTCACTACCCAAAGGAGTTTCAGAGCATCTTACAAACTCCTTTCCCTTCCCCTCCCACAACAGACACCTTGTTAGGTAAGTGGGGCTGAGAGAGCTCTTGACAGAAATGGCTCTTTTTTAAGGACAGCTCTTATCAGAACTATGGCTTGCCCAAGGTCATCCAGCAGCTGCAAGTGGAGGAGTGGGGAATCAAACCCGGCTCTCCCAGATTAGAGTCCGCGCACTTAACCACTACACCAAACTGGCTCACCAAACTGGCTACTAGGCCTTACTTCCTGGTAAATCATATTCAAGAATTCGCCAGAGCACTGAGAGACCACCCTTGATCTTCCCCAGGCCGGTAGTTTTCACACAGTTCCACTGCGCAGTTGAGACGACCCCGTGTTCAAATATTATGATTTATTTAACCACCTTAAAGGATTTGCTCGTAGCAGCCGGCAGGCAGGACAAATCCAAGTCCTTTAGAATCGGTCGGTAAAAAGGGGGCCTCCGGGGTTCAGCAAAAAAAAATATCTGCCTTGCAGGGATCAATAGTCCTCATAGTAATCTTCCCCATCCATAGAATCCCTCCCCACTTCTTCGTAATCCTTCTCCAGGGCAGCCATGTCCTCCCGGGCTTCGGTGAACTCCCCCTCCTCCATTCCCTCCCCCACGTACCAGTGCACAAAGGCCCGCTTGGCGTACATCAGGTCGAACTTGTGATCCAGCCGGGCCCAGGCCTCCGCAATGGCCGTCGTGTTGCTCAGCATGCAGACGGCCCGCTGCACCTTCGCCAGGTCTCCGCCTGGCACTACCGTGGGGGGCTGGTAGTTGATGCCCACCTTGAAGCCGGTCGGGCACCAGTCCACAAACTGGATGGACCTCCTGGTTTTGATGGCCGCGATCGCCGCGTTGACGTCTTTGGGCACCACGTCCCCTCGGTAGAGGAGGCAGCAAGCCATGTACTTCCCCCGCCGAGGGTCGCACTTCACCATCTGGTTAGAGAACTCGAAGCAGGAGTTGGTGATCTCGGGCACCGAGAGCTGCTCGTGGTAGGCCTTTTCGGCCGAGATGATGGGGGCGTAGGTGGTCAGCGGGAAGTGGATCCTGGGGTAGGGCACCAGGTTGGTCTGGAACTCGGTGAGGTCGACGTTCAAGGCGCCGTCGAACCTCAAGGAAGCGGTGATGGACGACACGATCTGGCCAATCAGCCTGTTGAGGTTGGTGTATGTCGGGCGCTCGACGTTGAGGTTCCGGTTGCAGATGTCGTAGATGGCCTCGTTGTCCACCATGAAGGAGCAGTCCGAGTGCTCCAGCGTGGTGTGGGTGGTCAGGATGGAGTTGTAGGGCTCCACCACGGCCGTGGAGATCCGTGGGGCGGGGTAGACCGAGAACTCGAGCTTGGCTTTCTTCCCAAATTCGACCGAGAGCTGCCCCATCAAAAGAGATGTGAAGCCCGAGCCCGTGCCCCCGCCAAAGCTGTGGAAGACCAGGAAACCTTGGAGGCCGTCACACTGGTCAGTCTGGAGACAGATAAAAGGCACCTGGTACATCAATCTGGACTTGCAGCGCAATGCTCCCTCTAAGACAGAGGTTCCCAAGCATATTTGGTCTACCTCCCCCTTTTCAGGAAAAATTTTTTTACTCAGCACCCCCCTGGAAATCTACCTTCAAGAAGTGGACAAAAAGATGCAGGGCCAAATTTGCACACGGAAAAGAAAGATGTTGTTGTAAGTAAAGAAAGATGTTGTTGGCCTGAAGCCAGAGGCCAGCCGCAGCAACCACACAATAGCCCAGCAGCAACACCCATCTTACAAGGCTTGTGATTGGCTGTGGGGACCAGTGTTCCCTCTGAGCTGAGTTAGTGTGAGCCAGCTCACGGTTTTTTAGCCTCCGGCTCACAGATTTTCGTCCTAGCTCGGGAAGGAGGGCTCCAGAGCAAACTAATTTACACCGTAGCCAAATCGCTCACTCACAGCTTTAATGCCAGCAGCTCACAAAGCAGAATTTTAGCTCACAAGACTCCACAGCTTAGAGGGACCATTGGTGGGGACCCCTCTCCACCTCCACCAGCCTGATCCCAGGGAAGATAAGTTCTGGACTCTTCTTTCTTTATGCTTCCACCGCCCCCTTATTTTTATTCAATGCCCCCCAATTGCACCCAAGGCTCCTACCGCCCACCTGGATCGTTCCAGCACCCCCCAGGGGGCAATATTGCGCAGTTTGGGAACCAGTGCTCTAAGCTATGGAGTGAACTCACTTCTTCAGATGCAACTTCTTCTGACTCAGCAAAACAAAGGAGATTAATCTTAAAGGTGCCACAGCAAGAGAAAGGTGGTTAATCTTAAAGGTGCCCCAACAAAACGAAGGTGGTTAGTCTTCAAGGTGTCCCATCACAACCAAGGCGGTTAGTCTTAAGGGTGCCACAACAAGAGAAAGGCGGTTAGTCTTAAAGGTGCCACAACAAGAGCAAGGTGGTTAGATCAGATTTAGAAACCTTTAATGGCATAAATGGTTAGTCTTAAAGGTGCCACAACAAGAGAAAGGCGGTTAGTCTTAAAGGTGCCCCAACAAAACGAAGGTAGTTAGTCTTAAAGGTGCCACAACAAGAGAAAGGCGGTTAGTCTTAAAAGTGCCACAATAAGAGAAAGGCGGTTAGTCTTAAAGGTGCCCCAACAAAACGAAGGTGGTTAGTCTTAAAGGTGCCACAACAAGAGAAAGGTGGTTAGTCTTAAAGGTGTCCCATCACAACCAAGGTGGTTAGTCCTAAAGGTGCAACAACAAGAGAAAGGCAGTTAGTCTTAAAAGTGCCACAACAAGAGAAAGGCGGTTAGTCTTAAAGGTGCCCCAACAAAACGAAGGTGGTTAGTCTTAAAGGTGCCACAACAAGAGAAAGGTGGTTAGTCTTAAAGGTGTCCCATCCAATGTTCCCTCTAAGCTGTGGAGTCTTGTGAGCGAAAATTCTACTTTGTGAGCTGCTGGCATTAAAGTTGTGAGCGAGTGATTTGGCTACTGGATAAATTAGTTTGCTCTGGAGCCATCCTTCCTGAGCTGAGACAAAAGCGTGTGAGCCGGAGGCTAAAAAACTGTGAGCTAGCTCACACTAACTCAGCTTAGAGGAAACACTGGTCCCATCACAACCAAGGTGGTTAGTCTTAAAGGTGCCCCAACAAGAGAAAGGCAGTTAGTCAGATCAGATTTAGAAACCGTTAATGGCATAAATGGTTAGTCTTAAAGGTGCCACAACAAGAGAAAGGCGGTTAGTCTTAAAGGTGCCCCAACAAGAGAAAGGCGGTTAGTCTTAAAGGTGCCCCAACAAAACAAAGATGGTTAGTCTTAAAGGTGCCACTGGACTTCCAATGACAGCCATACTAGCTAGCAACGTCACCGTCTGGGCCCCAGCTGAGCACATCCAGCCCCTGGGGTTCGGCTTCCTCCTGGCCAGCAGCTCATTCCTTCCTTCAGGACATTACCCAGAAGGTCAGAGGACGGGTCCACACTTACAGATTTTGTAAATCTTCCATTTCGGTAGTGTTTTAATTCACTGTCTGGCACCGCTTTGGAGAATACCCCCTTTAAAAATAGGATATAGTCTTGGCGGGAAGCGTATATCCATTTTTGGACGTGGCCCTCAACAAATCGCTGCTATTCCACTCACCAAAGCGGCTTCCGCAACCCCCTGCCCCCTACTCACCATCTTCCGGGCTCTGTCAACCACGGGCTGTATGATCTCTTTCCCGATGGTGTAGTGGCCTCGGGCGTAGTTGTTGGCCGCGTCCTCCTTGCCGCTGATGAGTTGCTCGGGATGGAACAAGGTGCGGTAGGTCCCTACCCGGATCTCATCTGCCACACGGATACACACAGGGTGAGCCAGAGGCTAAACAACTGTGAGCTAGCTCACACTAACTCAGCTTAGAGGGAACACTGGCGGTCAGACGGGCCGTTTAGTCCACTTTCGGCCCGCCTCAGAAACGGATTTCATCTGCGCGAGCACACAGTCAACACCTGCTTCCCGTCCCCAGCTGTCGCTTTCCGGCTCAAAACAGCTTTAACCCGGAGTATTTTGATACCAGGTCCCCAAGTGGTGTTTTCCTGATTCTCCGGTTCCAGCCACATTTTCCCCCTGTGTGATCGCGCATCCGGTGTCGAGCCACTTACAGTTTAAACTCCCTCCCCGCTTGAAAGCTGCCCAAGGCTTCCTTCTTTCACCCGCCATTTTTTTTTCAAGCGTTGGCGGTGTGCGCATAGGCGGAGCTCCGCCACCGCGTTATTAAAAACAAGGTTTAAACGGTGCCTAGTCTTAGCGTTTAGACGAGTTCGCGATTTCACGGAGGCCATTTTCAGGGTAAACGTTGAAAGGGAAGTGTTCCTTTAAAGTTTAAAGGGAAGTGTTCCTTTAAAGTTTAAAGGGAAGTGTTACAGCAGTCGGGTTGAAGTGGAAATCGCTGTTCTGCGCACACGCAAAAATTTTAGTTCCACAGATGGCTGCCTGTGTGCATGCCCAAACTGAGAGAGAGAGAAAAACAGTGACGCACGCTCCTGCGTGTGGACGGCGGGGAGCGATGTGGCGGCGCAGCGATCCAGAGCAAGGAGGCGAGTGTGATCGCGATTCTCCAGGTTTAAAAAAATCGCATCGGACCACAAACATATAATAGTATACCTATTAACAGCAGCAAGAATTCTGATAGCAAAGCGTTGGAAGTCAAAAGCTATACCATCAATAAGAGAACTTAAACACAAGATTCTGGAAATAGCTGAAATGGACAAACTGAGCATGACATTACAGAACGAACCAGAGGAACTTTTTTGGGGTAGATGGGAAGTCATTTACAAATGGCTGAAGCTGAAGAAGATACAGTAGCTCAGAGAACTTGCTAGTAAAAGATAATGGACGACAAACGAGAAAGGGAAATTTTACATTAAGTAATGTATAAGCAGGGCTATTTTTGGGCAGGAACGCACAGGAACGGAGTTCCGGCTGGCTCCTGAGTTGGCCGCGCCCAGCAGGAACTCATTAGCATAATAGGCCACACCCAACAGCAGAAACTCATTACGATTCGCTACATTAGGGGTGTGTGGCCTAACATGCAAAGGAGTTCCTGCTACAAAAAAAGGCCCTGGGTTTTGACAACAAACAAGGTAAACGGAATAAGAAGGGAAAGGTGGGTGTGGCTGGATGACCACACTTCTGGCAACATGGGGGTGCGGCCTAATAGGCTAATGAGTTTCTGCTGTTGGGTGTGGCCTATTATGCTAAGGAGTTCCTGCTGGGCTTTTTCTACAAAAAGAGCCCTGTGTATTAAATGGATATATGTACATATTTTTGTGAAATGAAAAATGAAAATAAAGTTAATAAAATAAAAAAAATCGCAGCGGGGCCAGAGCAGTTTATAACTGCTCCCAGCACGCCGTCTGACCGCACCCTGAGACTGAGAACTGTGCAGTATAAGAGCGAGAGTCCAGGAGCACCTTAAAGACTATCAAAGACTAGCAGAAGTGGGCAGTGACTCATCAAGGTTCCTCCCCTGCCACAAATTTTGTTAGTCTTTAAGGTGCTCCTGGACGCTGGCTCTTTTCTACTGCCACGGACAGTCTAACACAGGGGTGTCGAACTCATTTGTTATGAGGGCTGGATCTGACATAAATGAAACCTTGTCGGGCCAGGCCATGTGTGCCATACAATGTAATGCCAGGTAGCGGAGAGACGAACTTTATAAAGGACTCAAACACAAAGGGTGTGTTTTTTTCTACTTAAAACAAAAAACATGCTTAAAACATCAGCAACATTTTGTTCATTTAACAGTGTTTGATGATTGACTCCTCTTCCTCTGAATCATTGCATCAAACCGTCTGTGCTGTTGCAATCTCGAGTATGCGGTTCAGGGGTGTACCTGTAAGCTGCAAACCTATGACGACACAGCAGCAGCCGAACTGGAAGAAGAAGCAGAGGACAGCCAGTTCCACTGCGGGCCTGATAGAAGCCCTCCGGGGGCCTGATCCAGCCCCCGGGCCGCATGTTTGACACCCTTGGTCTAACACAGCAACCTATCTTGACAACTGTGCAGCATGCAGCCTGGTATGTATAGCTTAATGTAAGTTGGATCCTATTTATGTAACCTCAGAACTGCTTAATGCGTCGTATGAATATTTATGGCTACGCTGCAGCTCTTTCTGGTGGTTCCAGACCTCTAAAATCCTCATGCCTTGGTTACTGAATGTCCAATTTTGTTGAAGAGACTGGATTTATAGCCCGCCCTTCACTCATCTCCCCACAACACACACCCTGTGAAGTAGGTGGGGCTGAGAGAACGCTGAGAGGACTGCCCTTGAGACAACAGCTCTGAGAAAACTTGCAACCGACCCAAGGTCATACCAGCAAGCTGCATGTGGAGGAGTGGGGAATCAAACCCGATTCTCCCAGATTGGAGTCCGCGCTCCTAACCACGACACCAGACTTATTTTGTGATCCACCTTGAGTCCATGTGAGAAAGGTGGACTGTAAGGATAACGTAAATAAGTAAAAATAAAGCTATTGCCGGTTGGGCTGATTGGACAAGGTACTAAGTTTCCCTCTGAAGTCCCTGCCGTCTTTAGGTGCTACCCAATCTCCCCATACACACCCCAGCTGCCTGTACAACTCTGTCCTCCTCATGGCTCATTAATTTAAATTAGTCTACTTTTCTCACAGGGATTCAAGGTGGGTCGCAGTACAAATTTGTTCTAGTACAATCAACAAAATGGTACACTGAAAAATCAATGCAATAAGGTCAGGATTGCAGAAGTCTGGAACCCACCAGACATAAAGCATAAGTATTAACAGGCTGGAGCTGCGGTGGCTCAAGTGGTTAAGATGCTGAACTGCAGGCTGTGGAAGGTCGGTAGTTCAGCAGTTCGAGACCCGAGTGTGCCACGTGACGGAGTGAGCTCCCGTCTCTAGTTCCAGCTCCTGCCAACCTAGTTGTTTGAAAGCAAGAAACTTCAAGTAGATCAATAGGTACCACTTCAGTGGGAAGGTAACAGCGTTCCGTGCGCCTTGGTGTTTAGTCATGCCGGCCACATGACCACGGAAACGTCTACGGACAGCGCCGGCTCTTCGGCTTTGAAACGGGGATGAGCACCGCAACCCTAGAGTCGGATTCGACTGGCTTTTGAGCAAGGGAACCTTTACCTTTACCTATTAACAGGCTACATTAAGCAGTGTAGAAATTACATTGTGGGATCCTACTTCCAGTAAGCTCTACACACAGTAGTAATAGACCACAGCAAGTAACTTTGTGAACTGTTTGGTGCAGTGCAGAAAAGCCCCCTTGAATAGAGATGTAAAATTTCCAGAAATTTTGAAACTCAGAAAAAAAAAACCAGGGTTTTTTTTTGGGGGGGGCGGAAATTTTCAGGAAAATGGGGGGGAAATGCTACATTAGCACTTCTTTTTTCTTTTCCAGATTGAAAGTCATTCTGTTACTTTAGGAACATAAAATATGACTATGGACATTTTTACTTGGCATGAAATTATCACAACTAGCATAATAAAAATATAGTGTATCCAAACAATTATTACAAGCAGAATACCCACCCACATGCAAAAACAAAACTGAAACCTTTTTCTTTTCTTGTGACAATAGCACCTCCTAAAGGAAGAAATGCATCTTGTTCTTGCATTGGAGAGTTCAGTTGGTAACCTAGGACTTGCTTGTCCTCAGTGCACAGAAATTAGATCAATCTGAGATCATACATAGTTTTTTAGAAATGATTTGGAAAATATTTGAACACCTTGTCTTAAAATATTTTATTCATCATGTTAAAATAAAATGTTCCATAATTGGTTTTTTTTCCTTTTCTCAATTTTTCCAATTTTTCGGGAAAAAAACAAACAAAAAAAAAGGCTTCAGGAAAAAAATGGGGGGAAACTGTTTTCTCCCCGAATTTTTCCATTTTTTTCCTGGGCCTTCATATCTCTACCCTTGAATAATTGAATTGTGCATAGTTTGCGGAAAACCAGGAGAGTGGGGGCAGTGTTTAAGATGAGATACTGTGAGCTAGATCACAGTTTTTTAGCCTCTGGCTCACACATTCTGGTCTTTGCTCAGGAAGGAGGGCTCCAGAGCAAACTAGTTTATGCAGGAGCCAGATCGCTCGCTCACAACTTTAATGCAAGTGGCTCACAAAGTAGAATTTTTCCTCACAGGACTCCACAGCTTAGAGGGAGCATTGGTGGGGGCCTTCCTGATTTTCTTGGGCAGGCTATTCTGTCGAGTGGGGGCCACAATGGAGGAAGTGCACGGACGGGCAGCTGTTGCTTTTTGCCCATTTGCAGGCTGACAGCTGCAGAGGGTCAGCTGACTTTTAGCCGCCCTCAAACACTTAAAGGTAGACAACAGCCCCAAGCGCAACTCGCTAAACATTATGAAACTTGGCAAGGGTTAGACCTCGTGTGTCTTCATCGCCATTTGATTTCAGCCTTGTCCAAAGTGGAGCTTTTAAGCCCCAGCACGCTTGCAGAAAACCATTCCAAAAATGCATATTATACATGGCACAAACTATTTTTTAAAGTCTGGAACACAGCTTAGGCCAGCAGGAAGGCTGCTGCAGGGAAGAGTTCCTCAACCCGAGAGGAAGGGTGAGCTGACTGAGGCCCACTTGAGACAGTGAGCTAGAGACAGTAAGTTTAGACGCGTTTAGGGCATTTGGTTTCTTTTCTCTTCACCCCCTTATCGATATCGATGCAAGTGGAGGAGTGGGGAATTAAGCCTCGGCCGGGAGGTTGGGGCAGAAATTTAATAAATTGTAATGTCTCTATCGCAGATCGCGTGGCCCACAAAGGCTCCACGCGGTCAGCCTAACCTCCGAGCTTCGCTCCGAAGAACAATGGGTTTAGCGGATCCTAGCCCGCTCCAATCAGAGGGCTAGGGTCCCGGCCAAGAGCCTATGGAACTCTTGGCCCCTGTAAATAGCCAATTACTTGTGTGGGGTGTGTTTCGGGTGTGCAGTTTGTCAGGGATATCAACTGGACTGTGAGCCGGGGAAAGTTGTCTTGTTCTTTCCTAATAAAAGAGCTGAAATCATGACGATGTCTAAGGACTTTTCATAAATCAAATCAAACCCGTTTCTCCCAGATTATTATTATTATTGTTGTTATTATTATTATTACTATTGTTTCCCATATTGGGCTGATTCCTGTAAAAAATAAACCTTTTCCTTGTTGTTTACTCTGCCTGGTCTTCACGCTTATTTTGGCCAAACAAGGGAGGTCTGAAGGTCTTGGGAGGGTGCTCCGGGCCACCTCAGGGGATCTTAAAACCAGAATGGTGGCAGCGTCAAGTGACACCTCAGCCTGAGCCGTGACAAATAGTATTGTGTGTTTTGTTCTGACACGGTGTTTTTCTACGTTTGCTAAACCCCAGGTGGAGCCTGGAGAACTCCCGGAACCACAACTGATCTCCGGACTCCAAGAGAGCAGTTCTCCTGCAGGTACCGGCAGCTTTGGAAGGTGGACTCAGTGGTGTTCTAGTCAGGTGTCGTTTCATAGAAAAAGAGCTAGGGGAACTCATTAGCATAACTCATTAGCATATGCCACACCCCCTGACATCACCGGAAGTGTGTCATAAAGCCACACCCCCTGACATCACCGGACGTGTTGGGGGCCCGGCGGCAGACCTGCAAGACCGGCAGGAGTGTGAGGAAGCCCCGCAAAGGCCCCCAACGGTCCCGGCCACCGGCGCCAGCCTTGCGGCTCCACTGCTAAGCCCCATCAGGGGCCCGGCGGTGGACCTGCAAGGCCGGTGGGAGTGCGAGGAAGCCCCGCCAAGGCCCTCCCTGGCCCCAGGCAGGCAGGGGTGGGGAGAGGCGGGGAGGAAGCAACTTACCCTCCCTCTTCTCCTGCCTCCTCCTGGCTGAATGAGGGCCGGAAGCGGGGCGGCCGGAAGCAGGGGGCGGGGCTTTGTCATGTGCCCTGCCCCCTGCACCTTACCCGGGGGAACTGCGATCCCCCGTGATCCCCCCCAAATTGACCTCTGGTTCTAGTCATGGACACCTTCCCCGGCCCATCTTACCAATGACAGAGGGTTCAAGGTCAACAAATAAGGCCCTGGGGACGTGCTTGCCCGATCCTGTCTCGTTGAAGAACGTTCCAAAGGAAGAATCCCCATCAGCGTTCCGTTTCTCAAGAATCCGCCCGTCCGGCTCAATCCCGTGCTCCAAGCAGTAGAGCTCCCAGCAGGCATTTCCCATCTGAACTCCAGCCTGGCCGATGTGAATGGAGATGCATTCCCTCTAGAAAGGAGGGGGAGAGAGAGAGAGAAAACAGAACAGGCCTTCTGCGTGCATTTAAAAAAAAAAAGCAGTGAAATACCTTCTTATTTGGACCAACCCAAATTTTGAACAGCAGGTAAGTATCTTGTAGCCGTGTTTCTGCTGCCACTTAGCTTTTGGTCCCCTGGAATGTACAAGTGGAAGAGGAGGGACCATGGCTCAGTGGTAGAGCACCTGCTTGGCATGCAGAAGGTCCCGGGTTCAATCCCCGGCATCTCCAGTTAAAAGGACCAGGCAGGAGGTGATGTGAAAGACCTCAGCCTGAGACCCTGGAGAGCTGTATAGAGGGGTTGTGGCCCAGTGGTAGAGCACCTGCTTGGCATGCAGAAAGTCCCGGTTCGATCACCGGCATCTCCAGTTAAAAGGAAAAGATGGAAGGTAATATCAATATGTTCCCCATAGCAACCTATGGCTGCTGAAGTTGGACCATGAAGAAACAAGACAGGAGAAGCTAGACCATGAATAAGCAAGACTGGAGGGAAATTGACTCATTTGAGCTATGGTGCTGGAGAAGGCTCCTGCACATTCTTTGGACAGCAAAGGTGACAAACAAGTATGTACTGGAGCGCATAAAACCAGACATGTCATTGGAAGTGAAAAAAATAATTAAACCTGCGACTGACTTATTTCAGCCATGTCATGCAGAAGAACTCACTAGAAAAGGCAATTATACCTGGACTGGTTATCAGCAAAAGGAACCTAAAACCTAGAATTCAGAACCTAAAAAGATTAGTCAAGAATAGAAGAGGGACAACTCTAAAAATCTAATTATGAAACATACAAAAATACACATGTATTTATTAAAATTCAAATAACAAATAAGGGCCCATTCATACCTCATATACAAATGTAAAAACATACAAAGGCTGATGAAGTAGACCTAACGCGTTTCGGCCTCCACAGGCCTTCCTCAGAGGTCTAATGCAAACAGAACATGTTAGCTAATATGTAAAACAAGACGGGGACCCGCGATACTCGTGGGGGGGGGAGAAGAGCTCCGTCTCCTCCATCCCCCCCCCGCTCGATCTCCCTGAGGAGGCGGCGGCGGCGAGGCTGGTCCTCCCCCCCGCCCGGCTCTGAGGCGCCGGCGGCGGCAAGGCCGGTCCTTCCCCCCCCTTTGCCGGGCTCGGCAGCGGCGAGGCCAGTCCTCCCCCCGCCCGCCCGGCCGGCTCCGAGGAGGAGGAGGCGACGGCGTGGCGGCGGCGAGGTCAGCTACAGAGCATTCCGTGTGCATGCGCACGGAACGCTCTTGCACTTTCGGGGGGATTTAAACATCCCTCCGAATTTTTTTCCTACTTTTAGCATTTTTGTGCACACGTGGGGACTGGCCCTCGTGTGCACAAACCTCCGCCTCCCCCCCAAGTGCCCCCGGAGCGCAGATTTAGCGATCCACACTCCGGGGGCAACTTGGCTATTAGATATATAGATTATATACAATCATACATATATAAAATATGAAAAAGACCAGAACACAAGCTATTAGATATATAGATTATATACAATCATACATATATAAAATATGAAAAAGACCAGAAAACAATTGCTGTAAAAATAAAAAAATAGAAGATTAGACACATATACTATTTCATATATGTAAAAGGAAACGGGGCCGCCAACGAACACGGTGGCAAGACACCATCAAAGTCGACACCAGCCTGAGCACGGAACAACTCAAAGGAACAGTACAAGATCGGGAAATGTGGAGAGAGCTGGCCCATAGAATCGCCAAGAGTTGAACATGACTGAATGGCTAACAACAACAACACTGTCAAAGCCCTCTACTGGAAAACCTCTGCCAGCAGTCCGAGGAGACAATTTCCTTTTGCCGTCCGACGCACCTGACTTAGAGAAACCCAACAGGTTTTTCAGGGCGAGAGACATTCAGAGGTGGTTTCGCTGTTACGTGCCTCTGCGTAGCAATGCTGGATTGACTTGATAGTCTCCCATCCAAGTACTTATTGGGATATTCGGTTAACATAGCAGAGTTCTTTTCACACACTGGAAATCAACATCAATTCCATCACTGCAAGAATGGTTCATAAAATTAAGAACATAAGAGAGGCCAATGTTGGATCAGGCCAGTGGCCCATCCAGTCCAACACTCTGAGTCACACAGTGGCCAGAAATACCAGGGGCCATCAGGGGGTCCACCAGTGGGGCCAGGACATTAGAAGCCCTCCCACTGTTGACCCCCCCCCAAGCACCAAGAAGACAAAGCATCACTTGCCCCAGACAGAAGAACATAAGAGAAGCCAATGTTGGATCAGGCCAAAGGCCCATCCAGTCCAACACTCTGAGTCACACAGTGGCCAAAAATACCAGGTGCCCTCAGGAGGTCCAGCAGTGGGGCCAGGACCTTAGAAGCCCTCCCACTGTTGACCCCCCCCCCCAAGCACCAAGAAGACAGAGCATCACTTGCCCC